ATAATGCTTATATTGATAGCAGCAATGCAGGAGATGTTACTTGGTATTATAGCTAAAATCCATGTTATCCCCTTAATCATAATTACATTAGTATTGGCAGGCTGTTGACAATACTCACATTACTATTGATAGATTTCTGTCAATAACATGTTTCCAAATAAAATATATTCATTCATAATTTGTACAATGCTCGATAACAACACTAACATATACCAGAAGAAATTCCTCTTTCCCTGGTGGTATACAATAATTATTTTTTCTTGTTGTTGCACAGTGTACTGTACAAGTGGGATTGTTCATTTGTTTAGTTTAAAAAAAAAAACAAGCAGACAAACTATAGGTTATTTAAGAAAGAAACGTTCTGTGGGGTTTTTTTTCTGGGAGGCAATTTTTTATTTTCTTCTATGCAATATCTGTGACAGTGTAAAATCAAAGGAGAACCTTTTAAGTAGCAGTCTTTAATGTTTTGTCTTAAAGTGTATTTAAGTAACAAGTTAATTACACATAGAGTTTATTATGTATCTTCACCTGTTTTTTAACTGTTCAATTCTGATCATATAAGCTAAGCCTGATGGTGTCCTTAACTGAGCATTGGTATTTGTCTCTTTCATTACTTGGTCTGCAATTCTGAGTTCTTAAGTTTTAAAAAATTTAAAATAGACGAAATGGGAGAGTTAAAACAGTAAGGACATGATAAATAGAATTTAATGCGGAAGTATGGAGGAAAAACAACTTTCTCTTTATAGTCTGTGTAGCTCAGTAGAATATGGAATGCAAAACTAACATAAAGTACAAGTTAAATGTCTTGACACTTACAGGCTGTTCATTTTATCTACTTTTAAACCAGAATATTTCTCATTTATTCCTACTCTAGGACCACTATTTGTGAAAACAGTACGAACTGAAAAATCTAACAAACTTCTGAAAGTATTTTGCATGGAGGAAGTAATTTTAAAAGGGAAAACATTTTTTATTATGATTTATCTATTCCTTATTTATTGTCACTTGAAAAAATGGACACTATAGATAAAGAATATAATGGCAATTCTGTATTATAGCAAAATAGAGATTAGAATTTAAGCCTCTTCACTCAAAAGAAACAGTTGCTGTTATCCAGATCATTAGGGCATTTGCAGACATTTTTCCTAGGAAAATACAGATGTCAAACTTTTCCTTTCAATGTTCATGTATGGGAAGTAAGTATCTACCCTATAAATGCAGTAAAACCTTAAATCATTTCAGAAGTATGCATAGTGTATAGCAGAACGCTTCAGCCTGTACATAATGGTACACACGCTGAAATGTGCTTGCACATAAAAATCAAAGCTATATGGATATAATCCGTAAGTAATTTGTAGAGTCCAGTTAACAGCTATGGCCTATGGCAAACTTTCAGTGATCTTAACAGCAAAGAACTTCAGAACGATGCCCCATTTTATTGCTTAAGTCAAGAATGCTTACCTAATTGTTCATCAGAAAGAAAGCTTTACTTACGTAGGAATATTATAAGCATAATTTAAAGGATTTTAAAGGAGTACATCTTTATTATTCATTATTATGTTTTGTCTGATATTCTTTGTTATCCATATAGTTTGTGTAAAAATGACTTCAAAGTTGAATCAATCTACTAGTTAGTAATTCAGGAAGAAACATTAAATACGTCACAGTTAAACAGTATATATGATGTTGATACTAATTTTTTTTTAAAAAAGGAGACTTGTTGGATTTTGCAAAATTTCAAAGGTTAACAAACAGTGGTTGGGTTTGGTTGTTCAGAAATGTTTCTCATTTTTTATATACAAAGTTCCAATCCACACTGACAGGTTCACTGATGTTATTTTCTTCAAATAAAATTCTATAAAGTATCACGGACATGAAAAAAATACGTATTGTCACGAATCAATTAGATTGTACAACGAGGCATGCACAAATTTTTGGGAAGGTCAAGCTCCAAGTTCCAGGGAAGATCTTTACGACATCTAGTCCATCCCCCTATGAAAATCTGGGACAAATTCAATGCTAGAACAGGTAGCTTAGGCCATTGTTTGGTCAAGTTTTGAGAATCTCCAGAAATGGAGATTTCACAGTCCCTCTAGACAAACTGTTCCAGTTTCCTTGTGTCAAATGGGAATTTCTCATGTAGTGACTTACAACCAATTGTCTCTCTTTCACTGCATCTCACAGAAATGTTTGATTTAATCTTCTCTGTAACCTTTAGGTAGTGGAAGATTACTATTAGATCCCTTCTTAGCTGCCTTGTCTTTGAGTTGAACAGTCTGAGTTCCTTCAAGCTCTCCTCATATATGAGGTGTTGGGGCTCCCTGATGATATTAGCAACTGGACTCTTTTCAGTTTGTTGACATTTCTTTTGTATTATTGATAGAAAAGAGTGAAAACCAGATGTAGTGTCCCAAGTGTAGACTCGCCAATGCCGAGTAGAGGGGAATAAGCACATCCTTCAGTCTGCTAGTAATGTGCGTGCTAATGCATTCGGGTAGGCATTGTTACTGCAAGGAGGCACTGGTGGCTTGTGTTCAGCTTGCTGCCTGCCAGAATCCCCAGGTCCTTATTTGTAAAGCAGCTGTGTGGTCAGTCAGCTCCCAGCCTATAATGATCCATGGGTTGCATATTTCATGAGCCATCATAATCCTGTATACTTGACACATTTTCATTGAACTTCAGAAGGTTTCTGATGACCTGTTCCTCACTTGCTGAGGTTTCTTTAGATAATCTGGCTATACTGGGGGAAAAAAAATATCTCCACAGATTATTTCACATAAATACTTATGAGAAATCTACAACAGTAATTTCTCATAGCACGTGGACTAACAGAAGACAGCTGGAAAAGATGGTTGAACTGATGTTGGCAAATAGTCTTAGTAGGTGGATCAAGGAAGGTGTTTGATAAGATGTCCGTTTTGAAGAACTTTAGTATTTTGAAAGGGAATTTTGTATTGGGAATTGTATAGAACACTAGTAGGAGGGTAACTGAAATGATTAGAAGGGACTGAGGTGTTACCAGAAGCGAGGAAGACACTAGGCTTCTAAGGGTTACGAGTGAATAGGACTAAACCAGAGTGACAGGTCCCAGAGAAGACAGTTACCAGAGGCTGTGGTTTCTAAAACGGTAGTGGAATGAGAAGATGAGGAATAAGAGGGCAGATAGTCATTGGAGCTGGAGATTTTGAAGTGACATGGCAAGATCCAGTAGGCGTTGAATTGACCTTTTGACACAAAGTGGGGGAGGTGAGTTATTGGGATGATACTGGGTAATGCTTTCCAGCAGCGCTCCTTGTGCCTCGGTTTTTGCTACTGAAAAGACAGAACTGTGAGTGAGACAGGCTTGGGTATGCTGCCTTTGTATACTGACTTGTCAAGCCAGTGCGGGTTGATGCAATGAATCCCATAGATATTTACCCAGAGGAGGTGGCTTTATACTACCTTCAGCCATATTTTCCATGCTAATGAAGAAGGAGGAGTTTAGAGAAACTGAGTGGAACTATTGTATGACCTACCCATGTAGCCAGACTTAGTTAATTGGAAACTACTGCTGTACAGCATGCATTAAGAAAAAAAAAAAAAAAAACACCATATTTCCTGTTAGCTTTGCATACTTTCCTTACAGATATGACCAATTACAGTAAGAATGCCACAAATAATGTTATATACTGGGGTTTTAAAAGTTTCGATGCACTCTGTTTCAGCAAACAGTTATTGGTTTAGAGGGGGATTTTTTTGCAGGATTGTTAGCATCATTAGCAACCATTTCTATATAGGATCCTACATGGCGTTTTTTATTCAAAGCAGTCTTGTGTAATAGCAGCTTTTCCTCTTATAAATGTGGATTTGAAGTACCTTCTGTACTTTCTTCAGAAGGCTGTTGACCCTTGCTTGTCTGTTATGCAAAGAATCTGGTTTAGAAAATGAGTGTTGCATACTACCTGAAATATATCACTTCTCCTAAATCGCTTCGGGTTTTTTATGTGGACAAAAGGAACCAAAAATCAGTTACCCCGAAATTTGACATTACTAAGATGTTACCCATATTTCCTTATGCAATTTATTGCATTTATTTTCTTAGTGACAGAATTCCAGGTACAATAACATTTAAGCCAAGCAATTTTAAAAAATATTTTTATTTTTCTCTGTAATGCTTGAACAAGAAGAGTACATATTTGTTGAAGTTACTAGAATACATTAATCATCTTGCCAGGAAATTTGTTATACAACAAGTAGCACAATCCTGCACCTGTCAAAAGACTCTAGAAAATATATGCAGGCTTCAGTGATGTGCTGTATGATAATTTATGTCTGAATGCTGAATATTTGTTTAATCTCATGTAATGATTCCTCTCTAAGCTAATCAAATCACTACCTTTATTTAGGAATTTTTGTCACCCTAATTTTCATCCATATCTTTCTGTATGTAATCTTTAAATTTGTTTGCATTTCTAAGATTTTACTTTCAGCTGCCACTGCTGAAGTATTCATATGGCAATGTTTTCTGTCCACCCCACTGTTCTCTTCTAGATTTTAGTTAGTATGTTCATTTTCCCTGTTTCTCCGTAAAACGCCATATAGTTTTACAATTCTTGTTTCTGATATTGTATTTTAAGGTCTAATTGAATATTACAGTTATGCCCAGCAATTTTTTTTTTTAATTTATACAGTGAAATATTAAATCAGTGGAGTTTTATAAATATCTGGAAAGTGTTAAACACTTCTCTATAGCTAAATACAAGTGTTACTGTTTGTGAGAAATAGTCCAACGTAACTTCTTTTGAGATGAAATTTTATACTGTTAAAGTAAAGCTTTCTGAAAGGACTTCTAACATATTAATAGCATATTAATATAGCATTCTGAAGAAGCCTTTTTGTTATTTCTTGTCTACTGCTGGTATATTACAATTTTCTTGTCTTTAATAAGAATAACACCAGGAAATTCTCCATTATACTAAAATCTATTTGTGTTTACTCCTAGAAAGTTTTTTTGTGAAGAAATGGCCTCCAGCATTGGAAATGAAAAGAGTGTGAATCCTGTTCTCCGAATAAGTCAACTTGATGCTCTCGAACTAAACAAAGCCCTGGAACAACTAGTGTGGTCCCAGTTTACTAGCTGTTTTCATGGGTTTAAACCAGGGGTGTTGGCTCGTTTCGAACCAGAAGTAAAAGCGTTTTTGTGGCTTATATTGTGGAGATTCACTATCTATACCAAGAATGCAACTGTGGGACAGGCTATTCTGAATATTCAATACAAGAATAACTTATCTCAGACAGAGAAATACCAACCTCTGAGCAAACACCAGAAGTTATGGTATCTTATCTTCACTGTTGGTGGAGGATGGTTGGAAGAAAGATGTTATGACTTATTTAGCAATTGTCAACTGCAATCTTTCTGCAAAATTAAACGTTATATTAACTTTGGAGCTGGACTTCTTAAACTTGGTGGACTTCTAAATTTTCTGATTTTTCTTCAGAAAGGAACATTTGCAACACTTACAGAACGCATTCTAGGAATTAGGTCGGTTTTTTGCAAGCCACAAAGTGTTCGTCAGGTAGGATTTGAATACATGAACAGGGAGCTCTTATGGCACGGCTTTGCTGAATTTCTGATCTATCTGCTTCCACTTATTAACGTACAGAAACTAAAACTTAAAATTTCTTCCTATTCTTTGCCTATTACAGGTCTTTCCAATAGTGAAAACACATTAGCGGCTCGCTGCAAGGAGTGTTCACTGTGTGGGGAATGGCCTACCATGCCTCATACCATAGGCTGTTCACATGTTTTTTGTTACTACTGTATTAAAAGTAACTATTTATTTGATATGTATTTTACATGTCCTAAATGTGGCTCAGAGGTACAGAGTCTTCAGCCACTGAAATATAAAATTGAAATGACAGAATTGCATGCCTGATAGGGAATTGATTTGAGTTTATACTATACATGAAATATTATGTTGCAGAGATTAATGGAAAAATTGAGAAATTATTGTAAAGAGATGGCTTAAAGATGATTTTGAGGACTCTGTAAGTTGTTGTAACATATTTCTGTACTAGTATTACTTTTTTGCTGAGCAACAGGGCCAACTTGCCTCTCTGAAGAAAAGAAAAGAAAGGACTTCTACTCTCTCAGACTACTTCATCTCAGTTTGGACCCCTATGTTGTCAAGGCTTTCCTCCTTAGATCCAGAGTCTGTCAGCCTACCACTTCCTAACTGCATGCTGTATGCTTCTTCAAAGATAGAGATGATGATGATAGATCTTCAAAGATGTCTAGTAAGCTTTTACCCGTTTTGTGGATTTTCTCAACCTTCTCGTAAAAGCTTCTGCCATTACCAGCTTAGTTAGTAGATGAATTTAGTGGGAAAGTCATCCTTGTTGTGCCTAAAGAATTATTTTAAATTTGCTTATTTTAGAGTTGAATTCCCGCTGTGATGTTCCACTGCAAAAAGGAAAGGTATAAGATGAATTGTCATCTCAACAGATTATTAATAGTTTTCATCATATTCAGCCACCATAACAAGACATACTCTTTCTCTAACTCTGAATTGTTCTCTTATCAATAGACCATAAGCTTTAAGTCATCCATCTGGTAGACAGACACATACTCCATAGTTAGCGTGTGCCTACGGGAGATAGAACCACTTCCTATGCAAATACGGTGCACCTTATAGCTTCATGAGATGACTGAACTGATTTTCTTGCTCAGCTATGTGTCTCTAATCTTCGGTGATGTAAGTATGACCACCTCCCACTTCTTCCCTGTAAAGCTGAGGGACACATCCCTTGGAATGTGGCAGCTGCCCAAGGTAACCCGCATTCTTCTGAGTCGGAGACACTGGAGAAAACTTGACTCACAAGATGCTGCCTTTGGGACTTCCCACACCTCTTTTTTTGGTGTGGTCAAGGTGGGTGCCAAACCTCACTAATAGCTCGCTACCAGACAGAAAAAAAGATCAAACCCAGTTACGTGCATGTTGACCTATTAAAAAATATGTAACTCTTACTGGTTTTTGCCATTACTGTTTGCTTTCTCTGTTGGCTTTGCAGTGTTTTTATTATACCCTATTTTAACACTTTATCCATTTATTTTCTGACCTGGTTTGTAAGATTTTTTTTTTTTTTCAAAAGTACAGTCCTTTTTTTAACAGGTAGTCTTACCCAGAAGTGTCTCATTAACACTGAAATACGTTGCATCCTTTTTTGGCTCTTAAATCAAATTCTCAAAAACGTATACAGTTAAATTGAGTACATCGCTTTATGATGGCTGTGTTCTTGATTGGCTATCATCAATAGTCAGTCCCAAAAATAGTATAGTAACAACTGATCCAATATCTTTGATCTGCTTTTATGAAACGGTTTATTACATTCTTCAGTGTCTTATTAAAGCAACCCACCAGCCTATTTGTTTGAAGATCTTAAATTCTAGGTTTTGATCTTTAGTGACACACAACGCTTTCATCTGATGCAATTAAATGTAGTTAACGGCTTCATAAGTATCTTTGGGCAGCCCAAAACTTCATTAGTTCTGCTACTGTTCTGTGAGTCAACAGAGACTTCAGAGCAACTGCTTCCAGATATTGTGCCACAGTATATTATTTGCCATCAAATGTGTCTATCAGCAGCCTGCCAAATTTCTGTTATTCACAGTTGCAGTTTGAATCAGCAGATACAAATCTGTCTTTCTTAAAAGGATCAAAACTGGCAAGTCTGTTGGAGTACATCCTGGAGTCAGTTGCTGTCCCTCCACGTCACTTAATAATTCTTCCCAAAGAAGGATATTAGCAACCCTGACTTTGAGGTGGTCTAATGTCTCCAGAGAGGATCATCAGCATTCCTATAACTACCTTAATTAATTAAGCTTTGTACACATCTGATGTTCGTATTTTATAATCTTAGCAGACCTTACTTTCCTGGGGACTCTTTGTTTCTTCTGAAGTCACAGTACAGTATTGTGTCAAAAGAGCATGAATTTTCTGTATTGGACTCTTTTAGTTGTCATATTCTTCTTATGTAGGAGTTAACGTCTTCCCTATTTAGAAATGTTTTTTTTTCCTGAATATTTAAAGAATGTTATTTTCCTTTTTCATTCTGCCTCTCTCTGTCCTACTGTTTGATTTACCTAAGCTGTATGAATTTCCTGAGGTTTGCTTTGTCTCTTGCAGCTTCATCCAGGTGAAATCCTAGTAAAATATATACTCCGTTTCTCATCCCTGTTACAGTATCAATACAAAACCTGTTTCCAGAAGTTTCATGCCTCTATTGTACAGCTATTTTCTGCTGGCTGTGCTATATTGCACTTGGCTTCCCTGTTTTTTCTCTGGAGTTGAACTTAGGATGGCTTATTACACCAAAGCATTGGGCTACTACTGTAGTACCTCATTGTCGGTGTGTGAGGTTTGTAGCCCGTAGCACTGACCAGGTTTGTAAAGTCTATGTCTTATGGCATAAATAAACAGTTTACATTACTCTTAAGATTCTACAGCCTAAGATGTGGCTTTAATTCTTTTTGTTCTCCATGCAAGTAATCAGGTACCATCACGTCACAGAAATAGAAGGTTTGGGAAGAGAGTGGTTTCTTTGATCAGATACAGAATTTTTTTTTTTTTTTTAATCTATCATGTAGTGAAACCTTCAGTCAGTTGTAGTTGCAACTCAGATTGATGAGACCAGGGTTTCAACTTGCATATTGAAAGACTACTTGCTACCAGGTTAGCTTTTTAGGACTCCGAAGTCAATACTCAGCAGCTTCCTTATAGCACTGTAAGATTAAAAATATACCTTTTTTTAATATCATAATTCTATTTTGTTTTGTCTTGTGATATATAAACTGCATAAAAGTCTTACTTGAAGATATTACCAAAAACAGCTGATAATTTGTGGCCTAATCAAAGGATAATTAATCTTACATACTAATTGCATTGATAGTTTTTCCTCATAAGCATTATATCTTCAGGTTAAAACTCTACTGTAGCAAAAGAATAAGACATATCTGGTGATGCTTCCTGCAGTAGAGGGAATAAAATTTATTTTGGAATGTTAATCTCTTAAGTCATTTTCTCTAAACAAAAGGTTTTTAGTGTTTGTTCAGCTACTGTGAGAATGTTCTTCTGAGCAGTCGTATGTGCATCAGTGAAAAGGATAAATGCCTAGAATTTAAGAAAGCTAAAGGACCAGAACTCTTATTCAATTTTGGATAGGAATTACAGCCCTGTATTAACACTTTTACTTGTGTTCTGTTGTGTGTATTTGTGTGCTACATGAACATTTTCATTATGTCAGAAATAAAAAAATGAAGCCATAACTGAAACAGACTATATTAATAAACATACTATAAAACTTTTCATATCTTTACTTGAATGAGAATTACCAGTTGTCACAAGGTGTGATTTTTGGAGACGTTCAGATTAAAAGAGTCAGAGAATGCTGATTCCTTGCTTCCACAAACCACCACCACTCCATCTACTCTATGTGCTTTAAGAGAGGTCTCATTTAAGTAATGTTATGGAAGACTTAAAAGCAGGAGTTTCAGTATTCTGTAAAAGAAATGACTGGGATAGCATCTGATTTCCACATTATGTGGAAATATTCCTTTATTTTTCCATAAGTGTGAGATGTGACAGGCAAGGATGACCTTGACAAAATGGTGAAGATGTTAAGAAAGATTTAAGAAAGAAATATATTCCCTAAATACAGGCTAATTAATGTCCTTGTTTGAGAATATTACTGCAATTGTTATCTGGGATGTATCATTCTTATGAAAAACATGTTGACCAATAAAAGATACTTCTTCACTGGAGGTTCTGAAGTTTGCCTTTTTCCTAAGAGACAATTTTTTTTTTTTTCCTACTTGGACTTATTCAATGGTTTGACTGTGATTTCATATTTTAATATTCATGAGACTAAAATGCAAAGTGGGAAACTAGTTTACAGTTACAGTTCACTTTAAAAGTTTCTTCAGTTTTAGGTTCCAAAGGAAATTATCTTTTTAATAAGCTAAAGCTCTGATAAGGGCTGGGCCCCTATCTGGGCAGGGACATCAAGGGCAACAAGAAAGGCTTATATAGGTGGTGAGGCACCAGAACAGGTTGCCCCATCCCCCATCCCTGGAAGTGTTGAAGGCCAGGTTGGATGAGGCTTTGAGCAACCTGATCTAGTGGAAGGTGTCCCTGCCCATAGTAGGGCGATTGGAACTAAATGACGTTTAAGATCTCTTCCAACCCAAACCATTCTATGATTCTGTGATAATTTTCCTTTTGAGCAGACTAGTCGTAGCAATAAATTGTCAACAGTTACACTTCACTGTGTGTTCTCTGGGAAGCTGTCTTGGCTTGTACTAAGAAGATGCTGCCATGATAAATATTAAAAATGATGGTCATTTACTTCTAATAACAAAAATATGGTAGCCTGGGCTACTGAAAGTCACAGCGTATACAATCAAAACACCAGGGAGCAGTTTCGAAGTGATTCTTCATACCTTTTGAATGTCAACATGTGCATTTGCAGGAAAAGCTCTTAGAATTGGTGAAGTAGATTACAACTGCCTGCCTTCACTCTCTCAAGAGGGTTTTCCATGTTGTCACCATCGAAACATTCATGCAAATTGTTACTAGTCTTAATAGTTTCCACCATTCCAGGGAAGCCCACTTCCAAGGCAGGATCTCACACAAGCCTGACAAGGTGACCAAATTGTTGGCATTCAAGCAAAAGACGTTTGTGGGGGGAACCCTCTCAGGAGGGGACACTGGGACCAGACGACTACACAAACATGCACAGAGATACTTGTAGAGCATCTGCTAAGGCCACGCAGCGATCTCTTCCATTCTCTGGAGCACACCTGTGTTTTTGTACCTCTGCTCAAACTGTCTGTTCACTGCACACAGAATGGAGACCCATTTCAGATAGGAGGTGTGGGCAAACTTGTGCACTAGCAAGTGCAGGTAGTTCCAGATCTTGCAGGCAGTTTTTAATAAGTACAAAATCCTTGGTTGTATACGTCTCTGATCCTGAG